TCGATGGTTCAGGAAATCAAAAGGTATCATTAAATTTCCCGTAGGATTGATTGGGGAGGGTTTCTTGAACTAAAATAATGAAAAATCCATTCACTTTGAAAGCTCATTTAAGCTGAAGGTGAAACAAAAATTACCTGAAGGAGGGGTAGAATTTGTACTTGGAAATGAGTTTAGGAGCAATATCCATTAATTTGAAACTAAGGATCTGGGGAAAGGCAGATAAAAAATACATCAGGAGAAAAACTTTCCTTCTTTTTGTGCCAAGATTCCATTTACAATTACTTACCAGAGCCTCTGATATTAGAAATAGAAACGTTATCTATAGGGTTAAGTTTAAAAGCACTGTTATAACATTTCCATTTGTTTTCTTTATCAGATGAGATAAAACATTCACACCTATTTTAGCAGAAAAGAATCAAGAGAACTGTCCCCCAAAACTGCTTCCTTATACCAAGTTGCTTTCTCCATGTAGGCTTGGATCTTGATGACAATGAATCGTAATGGCCATACTTGCCAAAAATAAGACATGAACTTTCGTCTTGAATCACACCAGCCAGTGAGAGGAGCCTCTTTTTGTCTTCTCTCTCTGGTGCGTGAACCCCAGTTTGAAATGTCTGGCTGTGGTCTTCTTTGTCATTAAGCAAATTGTTTCCTTGCCCAGTGGGTGGGATTAATAATTACAAGCTTCTAAATGACCAGAACATTGCTCTTTCTTATGACTATTCTAAAAAAAAAACCTACTGTTCATATTTCAGTGTTACAATCCTTTTAAAATCTTGGCTATTTTTATTTGAAAATGGAGAGGGGTGGATAAAAGGAAAGGAGAGAAGGGGATGGTGGTGGAGGGGACAGAGGAAGAGGAAGAGGAAGAGGGAGGGGAGGGGAAGGAAGGGGAGAGAAGGGGAGGGAAAGAGAAAATTCTATAATTCATTGGCTCATTTCCCAAATACCTGCAACAGCCAGGGCCGGACCAGGCTAAAGCCAGAAACCTGGAATCACACCAGGTCTCCCACATGGAGTCTCACCTGCTACCTCCCAGGGCGCACATTACCTGGCAGCTGGGTTATGACCTGAGCTGGGACTGGAACACAGGCACTCTGCTATGGGATGGAGGCATCCCAAGCGGCGCCCTGCTTGGCCAATTAACTGCTCCGTGTGGCTATATTTCAAAAACTGCTCTGTAAGTCATTGCAGCAAAGGAAGGTACTTCAACCTGCAGTCTAAGCAGTCCTCTTCCTTTTCATGCTAGCTTCACACTCACTTCCTCCAGCTCCGACCACATCACTGCCCCAGGAGCAGTAAGTTAGTGTCTCACTTGTCCATTAGGAGATGTCATGTGAGCAAAGCCATCTGGGTGACAAACAGAAGAGTGTCATCTTTCTAGGAAGCAGGGGAGGGCTTTATCAAAAATCAGCTTTATAATGAAGTCTTGAGAAAAAGTCTAAAACTGCCTTGTGGAGAAGAGCTAAGGGAGACAGCAGATGTGAAGACACAAAGGCAACCAAAAACACAGCACACAAAGGCTAGCGTGGGAGGGAATGACGGAAGCCAAGACTGGGTTGGGAAGGGAGCTACAAGTCTGCCAGTGAGGCTCTCCACTACTTACCTCCTTCTGCAGCTGGGGTGATACTTTGAAAGCAATCTGATTTGGCAGGTTAGAATATTTATGAAGAATCATTGGAACACTGGCAGTAGAATGTTCGAAGGTCACCAACTCTATTCTAAAAAGGAGAAGTCAGACTTGATAGAGGTTTCTGAATTCACAGCCTAGGAACCAGGGAATCCAAGACATGAACTTGGGAGATGGCTACAAAGTGGGGAGATGGTGGCAAGAGGACACGGTTGGGTTCAAAGGACTCAGAGTTCTTTCTTGGTTTAGTTGTTAAGTAGACGGTGATGTCCCCCGCCAACTCTCAAACCCCGAGGAGCTGCTCTGGTCATTGGCAATGCTACCTGATGATCCTGTGGCCCCTCAGGGAGGCGCAGTGTAATTACGGTGCTCACCAAATGGAAGGGCTCCATGCTCAGGAGATAACTAGCTCTGTCTCACCTGGACGACGGAAAGATCAGCTCACGTTCATCTTCTCTTTCCAGTTCATTCTCTCTCACTCCTCTCGCCATGACACTATATAATATTTAACAGGATTGTTGAGATATATGTGAGATAACAAACAGCATGCATTTAAAATGCATGGCTTGGGGATGGGTGTTCGGCCTGGTGGTTATTGCTTCCACCCAAATAAATATTTTTCATTTGTAAGGGGAGGGCGGTGTAGAACAGGAAGACCAGAAACACTGAAATACACGAACGCTTTCTCATGATGCAGATTCTCCGTGACCTTTTTGAGGATCACTCGTATGGATGGATAGTAACATTTTTGGCACCGGAATAAACTGACCTTTCAATTCTACCTGTTACATTTTTTTTTTTAATTTGACAGAAGAACAGAGAGGAATGAGGGCAGGACTCCCCAGCACTGGTTCACTTCCTGATGATGGTAACACCAGAGATGGACCAGCTGAGACCTGGAGCCTGTAACACTGGGATTCTAAACGAGTGCCAGTTCTAATCCAGGCACCCATGCTTCCCATCCAGTCTCCCTGCTTGTGGCCTGGGAAAGCAGGTAAGGATGGCCCAAAGCCTTGGGACCCTGTACCCGCATGGGAGACCTGGAAGAGGCTCTAGGCTCCTGGCTTCAGATTGGCGCAGCTCCAGCTGTAGCAGTCACTTGGGAAGTGAATCAACAGATGGAAGATCTTCCTCTCTGTCTCTCCTCCTCTCTGTATATCTGACTTTTTGATAAAAATTTCAAAAAAAAATTTTTTTAAACCCAAAATAATCACAAATAGACAAAATATACAGAATGATGACTTACCAGACACTATAAATCAGGCAAGGAATAATGGTGATGCCCAAGAGGTAAGGGAAATGGGAGGTGGATCCAGAATTACGGCTTAGAGAGTCTCCAGGCAACAGCGCAGAGAGAGGACCAATGAATGGATACACAGAGCATCGCACTGAGACAAAAGAAGCCATAATAGTAATAATAAAAAGCCTACGGCAGCTAACATTCTGAAAGCCAAAACTGTAAAGAGACAAATGCAGAGGGAAGATTTTCAAGTCTTGTGATAAGATCCTTCTAATCCATGAACAAAACCAACAGAAAAAACCAGATGGAGCAGATGCCAGCACTGGGCAAGGAATGGTGCTTGTCGCACCTATCGGGCTGCAAACCCTGCACTGGGAGACCCTGGGGCGAGTGCAGGTACTGTGATCACCTGTTAGGATTCACAAGTAGGAAGGAGTGCAAAGCACACACCCTTGTTGTCTTATCACAGTGCTAACAATGTTAAATTAGGAATCATTAACAAAAATATAAAAATAAATCCCAGAAAGAACTGGGACGTGTTTTAACTGGAATGAAAATAAATATACAACACATAAATTCTTATGGAATGCCACTGAAATAGAACTTGAAAATGTATGCCAGCAAATATTACTAGAAAAAAAGGGGTCCACTTCAATGACCTAAGCATCCACCTGAAGGAACTGTACGGCAAGAGTAAAGAAGGAGAAAGAAAACTTAAAAAGGCCAGAGTCCAAACTAACAAAAGGAAAGCAGGAAACTGCTGCTGCTGTACTTAAGTAGAAGTTAGAATCATCATCAAAACACTTGAACCCAAGTGTCCCAATAACTATTGTAACAAACACCTCTTGCTCATTTTCCAACGTGAGTCCTGATATTTTTCAAAATCCTGCCCAAAGCAGATACACAGGGCGGGCATTGGGCCTACAGGTGAAGACACCTGCATGTTCGTGTCTTAGCTCTGGATCCTGACACCCATTGCCTGATCACATGCAACAGAGACAGTTCAAATACTTGGGTGCCTGGTACCCATATGAGAGACCTGGACTGCTGGGGGCATTTGTAGAGTGATCCAGTGGCTAGACATGACTTTCTCTGTGTCTGTTTTTTCCGCTCAAATAACTAATTTTTTACAAGACTGAATGTCAACTCCAGGTGGATCCTGTCTGCCAAGTGCTTTCTTTTTCTGTCCCTATAAAACTGGAGAGCCCAAGTTAGGTATCTGAAAGGAAGCAGGTGTAAAATTCCCTGGTGGGGCCAGCATAGTGACGCAGCATACTAAGCCTCCACCTGCAGTGCTGGCATCCCATGTGGGTCCAGATTCCAGCCCCTACTGCTGCATTTATAATCCAGCTCCCTGCTTATTTTCTGGGAAAGCAGCAGTGGATGGCTGAAGTCTTTCGGCACCTGTACCCTGCCACACACACGGGCGACCCAGAAGAAGCTCCTGGTTCGTGGCTTTGGATCAGCTCCGCTCTGACTGTTACAACTATCTGGGGAATAAACCAGTGGAGGCAAACTTTCTCTCTATCGCTCCCTCCCTATCTGTAACTCTGACTTTTAAGTAAAAATAAAATAAATTTCTTTTTAAAAAGTTCCTTTGTTTAAATCTACACTTTAAACACATGCTACAACTTTGCTACCAAAGATGTTGGAGAAATGGGATATGATCATTTGTAACACATTTAAGTAATTTTAATTGTTATTGCTTTCTCCTTACTGTGTTCAGAGCTATCTGTGGCATAAATCTAGCCGCCTTCCTCATCCTCACTCCTGCCCAGCCCTCAATTCACAAAACTGTTCCCATCACTCCCCTCCTGCTCCTCTGCAACCTTTTACCAGCAGCAGTCAAGAGGAAAGGAGGAGGAACAGGTGTGAGTGGGTTGGGGTTTAACCAGAGACAAGACCTTCACCAGAAACTCGGAGGTCTGAACACCAGCCTCGGCGGGAAGCGCACAGAGCCTGTGCACAATGACAGCCCATTTTTCACAGGGCGGCCACTGACCAAGCCTCCCTCATCTGCGTATGTGCATAATGACACCTCCACGCTAGGGTTGCTGGGAGGGCTGCATTGTGTGAAAGCTGTAAATACTCAGCATCTACTCCAATATGGTACTTTATTTGTAATGTGAGTATTTTGAGATTAAAGAGGCTCTTTTTAGCCTTTTGAGGGAGCCAAGTTCATGGCCTTGCTCATGCCTGAATGCAGCTCTCCTGGCATTCCTTTTCACTGTTGAATCTGTTTCCTGAGCCATTGCAGCCACTGAACCAGAAACGGGCACAGGAGTTGACCTGCTGGTCGTAGTACCATCGGACCACGTAGTCAGCACAGTTCCCGGGCTGCAGGGTCTCCAGGCACCTAGGATCTGGGATGAGAAAGGACATTATGTCAATACAGGTTTGGTTTCAACTGAAGAATTAAAAAAATAAAAGCTTGATACAGTTATTAAATATTGCTTCTCCACCCATACTAATAGGCTAAGAAAACACAGTTCTATGTCAGTGAAAAAAGAGTTCTCTAAGACCCAAACGCGTCCCCACCTCCTACAACTCTGCCCCTAGTCCATTCAGTACTTCAGAATCAGAAAAGGTTTTGATCTTCACAGCACATCATTAAAATGCATGTGTTCCTAAGAGCGGGGATGTGACTTGACTGGCCAACAGCTGCATGGAGATGGTCAACAGGGAAAGATAACAGTGCTTTCATTTACTTTGGATTTAATTAAAAAACCAAATTAATATTCAGAATGAAATTATTTCCAGCCTTCTGTATGCATTTTCACCTAGTTTGATCATAGAAAGCATCAGCAGGCTTACCCGCAACTGTGTTTACTATAAAAAGGGAAATTCTTTAAGATGCAAAAGAAGTCAAATGAGGTCTTTGTAGTCCAATTCTCCTTTTCAAAGAGCAGCTCTTACAAAAACTAAAAATATGACTGCACTTTCAAATGTCAGTTTCTGGATAAATTTCAGAAATGTGAGGACTGGAAAAAAGCAAAGCAGAGTTGACACTATGAAGCCACCCGGTACTAAGGAGGTCATTTAACCAGAGCTTCTTATTCAATAAACCCCCTCATTGTGGCTCATTTCAAAGTGCCTTGATGGGCATTTTCCAAGTGAGAAAATCACACCTACCTCTGAGTGGGAGAAAAAAAAAAGATCAAATAGGTAAGTGCTCTCGGTTCTCAAATTCTGTGAGATGCTTTCTAGGTCAGAAACTTCATTCCTCTAAAGCAAAGCCAGCGCGCTCTCCATCGCCTTTAATCATCTCCCCAGATTTGGAGAATGCCTTCATTTATTTGTTTTTTTTTTCTAAGCTAACATCTAAATTTAGTTCTCCTTCGAAGATTCCTTGGATGGAGTAGAAAGAAAAGTAGATTTCCAGGACTTGTGTTTCTAAAAGCAAAAGCTAAATACTGCTTATTGCGTAACCTGTTTTCAAGACAACCTAAGCTTCTTTTGGAAAAGGATTTTACTCTTTTGTGTGTTCTGCAGAATGTTAACAGATTTTTTTGAACATAATAACTTCATAAAAAAATAGGTTGCTACAACAGAATGGAATAAATTAACCTACTAATAAATACTTTAATAACTTTAGAAGTTCTTACAGAGGGGCCAGCATGTTAGCTCAACTGGCTAATCCTCCACCTCCAAGCACAGCATCCCATATGGGTGCTGGATCCTGCCCTGGCTCCCCTTTTCATCCAGCTCCCTACTTATGACCAGGAAGAACAGCAGAGTATGGCTCAAAGTTTGGGACTCAAAGTTTTTTGGGGGGCTCAAAGTTTTTTTTTAAAGATTCTTTATTTGTTTTTATTGGAAACTGAGATATACAGAGAGGAGGAGAGACAGAGAGGAAGATCTTCTGTTTGTTGGTTCACTCCCCAAACGGCCGCAACAGTCAGAGCTGAGCCAATCCGAAGCCAGAAGCCAGGAGCTTCTTCCAAGTCTCCCACATGGGTGCAGGGACCCAAAGTTTTGGGTCGTCCTCGGTTGCTTTCCCAGGCCACAAGCAAGGAGCTGGATGGGAAGTGGAGCTGCCAGGATTAGAACCGGCACCCATATGGGATCCCTGCGTGTTGACGATGAGGACTTTAGCTGCTAGGCCACCTTGCCGGGCCTGGGGGCATTCCAAGCATGATGAAATCGCTGCAGAATCCACTGGTTGACATAGTCCAACTTAGAGTCTCTGTTTTTCGTTAAGCTTCTTGCAGACATTCTCTAGTTTCTGCACAAGTTTCTCCATCATTTAGTTTTTTTCAAAATACCATTTATCTTGGTAGGCCACATTCCAAGAATTATTCAATTTCTACAATTATCAGGTTGACCAAGGACAATCTGTAGGACATCCTGCTTGCCTGTTCCTCTTGGGAGACCAGGAAGAAGCTCCTGGCTTTAGAAGCTCCAGCCATTGTGGCCACTTGGGAAGTGAACCAGAAGATGGAAGATCTTTTTGTCTCTCCTTCTCTGTGTAAATTTGCCTTTCCAATAAAAATAAATAAATTTTTTTATTTAAGTCCTCATAGACCACATTGACTGCACAGCCAGCCAGTTTTCAAATTCTAAATACACTCTGGTAGGAAAACAATCTTTTTCCTTCCCCATTAAGCAGTGGTAACATTTTCTCCCTAGGCTAGATTCTAGAGGGCAGCCTTCCATTGCCCCTTCACTTTGTAGACCTGGCAGCTGACACATAGGCGTCTCTCACCTTTGTGTATCAGATTTGCATGCTGTGAGATCAGTACAGGACTTGGAGTTCTGGTGTCCACATCCCCTTCCCCGTGTTGAGGGGGACTGAGCAATGGCCCGTGGTGGGTGGCAGCATCTGACGAAGTGGCAATCAAGCCACTGGCTCGGGTGGGCTCTGACAGTTCGTCTTCTCCATCCTGGGCTCCTGGGACACTGACCTACACACACACACACACACAAACAGGTGACACTTTTTGTTTACAATAATATCAGGCTTAAAAAGCCACCTTGCTTTCCAGAACTTGTAGGGGAAATTTCAGCACTAATGCATACCCCCAGCTCCCTGACACGAGCTCTCAAGTGAAAGCTCAGGAACTCACACTCTTTCTCCCCAGATCAAACTTCCCTGAATGCTCAGGTTGCTTCCTTCCTTCCTTCCTTCCTTCCTTCCTTCCTTCCTTCCTTCCTTCCTTCCTTCCTTCCTTCCTTCCTTCCTTCCTTCCTTCCTTCCTTCCTCCTTCCCTTCCTTCATTCCTTCATGTGCTTTTTCTTTTCTTTCTCAATCTCCATAGCACAGAAGAAGACAGTAGATTCTGAATAAATTCACGAGTTAGAATCTGTCACTTGCACATTTCGGTTGAATTTGATAAAAACGTGAAAAGGGCAGAGAGGGAGACAAATTCGGACCATTCCTTACCTCTAGGATTTAATGTTATCATCTTTAAAATAAGAACGTTTTGGCCTTGCTGTGCCTCCTAACCCTGAGAGAGGGCTTTAAGTCATCCAAACTCAGCTGGCAAAAACCATGCTATCTTGGTGCTAGGAGTTGTCTCCAGAGAGGGAAAAAGGAACTCCAGAGGGGGACACACTGCACCTCAAACGTATCGGGAGTTGGAACAGTGGACACATGGAAGCACCAGGTACTGCTTGGGGTGGACACTCGGGTATTTGCTGTGTTCTTGTTCTTCATTAGTCATAAGCCAAAATTCAGAAGCTGGCCACCCTGGCCTGCCTTGAGGGATGCGGACTACAGTTAGAGACATAAAAAGCATTCTAGCCTAGTGTTCAGGTGTGTTTAGCACAGCTGGACAAGCTGTGCCAGCTTTCAGTGTCCGTGCAGGTCTGCAAGCAGCAGGAACGGGCGTGCAGGACTAAGGATGATCCGGATTAAGCAGGCATCGTGCAGTTCCTAAAGCCTCTTGGTTTCTGCTTTCTCATCATAATTCGCTGCCCAGTGTTTTTCATGGATTCCACGTCAACTCTCCCGACCTGAACTCATGGCTGCTCTGAATGCTAACCGCCATCTGTGCCGGCCCCTCTGCTCCCACTGAGCATTTTCCCAGCAGTGAGGGTCAGAGTGTCTCCCGCTCAGATGCAGGAATTCAGATTCCGCCCACTGGCACCACAGTCAGGATGCTCCTTGACTGATCAGGCCAGGCGACTCAGCATTTCCATGTCCATCAATGCAAGGCTCTTCAGTGGCTCATGAAGGGAACTGTGGCCCTTGGGGGCACCTGGAACTGGGGCTATGCCTCTACTGCACGTGGACCATGGCTTTCAGCTGTCCAAAAGGGGGAGTGCATGACTGAATTCTGTTTAAAAATCTCTCACGCGTTAGGGTAGTGTTCTCTGTCCCAGCACTGCTGGGTATTGTGCTGTTCTACTCATGTTCTTAGAGGGGAGGACTCATGTTTTGTTGGTCACCCTTGAGGAAACAGAGAACTCAAGCAAATGCCCAATTCTCCTATGTCAGGCAGCTACCACATTGAATTTCTAAGGAATTATTCATCAGGAGAGAAATCGTACTCGCCAGATAGCATTAAAGGAACATCATATAGATTGAATACACAGCCCAGCTTCAGCAATGAGAAAATGGGGAAACCCCAGACTGAGGAGGTGAGCAACGCAGTGTTCAGCTTCTGCGCTGACTCCAAGTCCTGACTCCCAGTCGACAGCATGCTTTGCTGCTTTCATTTTCTATTCCAAGGATAGTAAGTCTATTAACATGACACAGGTTCACAGAACATCTTCACATAATAACATCACTAACAGGGGCCATTGTCACTATATAGGAGGTTAAGCTTCTACCCACAGCACAGGCATCCTATACGGGTGTCAATTCGAGTCATGGCTGTCCACTTAAGATCCAGCTCCCAGCTTACAGCCTGGGAGAGCAGTGGAAAATGGCTCAAGTCCTTAGGACCTTGCACCTACAGAGGAGACATGGAAGAAATTTCTGACTTCTGATCAGTCCAGCTCTGGCTATTGTAGCCAGAACTAACAAGTAGAAGACCTGTCTCTCCTTCTCTCTGTAATTTTGCCTTTCAAATAAAAATCAATAAATCTTTTTTTTTTAACATAAGCACACACTTTTTCTGTAGAGTCCTATCAAAGAAGTTGAATTTCTTTAATCACCACAATGAGATCATCAATTTCGTTTCATAAATAAGTTAAACTGAAGAACTGAGCCCACAAACATACCTAGGTATGTGACTTGTCAAAGCCACTTATAAATAATCAAGTGTGACAGAAGGAAAGCATGATGACTTTCCTGTCCATGAAGAACCTAAACACTCGGCCTTGAAGGTTTCAAGAGCACCGAGCAGAGCCTTTGGACCAGCTTCCTCATTTTAACAGTCAGTAACAATCTACATGCCACTGCTTGCATAAAACATTCCAAGAAAATATAGATTCGTTCAAACATGTTCTTTATCCTGCTGTACCACCCTAGAGGCTCAGTACCAAGTGAAACTATATGCCATCTCTTTATAGATGGGGTTTGGGACAATTTATCGATAAAGGAATCATATGTAAGTGAAGTAAAAATAGCATCACACAATCCACAGGCAATGGGTAAACTGGGCAGAATATGGAAAAGAGAGATGGGCCATGGATTCTGACTGTAACATAGGAACATAATGGGTATGAACCAGAAGCAAGGAGGTCCTGCTCTGAGAGTGCAGGTGGACGGATGAGCAAGTGGGCTGCTGGGGTAGGTGGAAGGAGCTCTCTCTGTCTTTCAACCTGTCTCTATGTAATTCTGACTTTTCAAGCAAAAAAACCAAATTTTTTTTTAAAAGAGCTACTCCACAAATCTGATCTGCTTTAATAAAAATAAATCAATAGATCCTAGAAAGAAAAGAGCTACTGTAAGGGGCTCTTCCCATGTCAACTTGGTCGTGTCCAGCACAGGGCTGCTGTGCACTGGTTCAGGCATCCACTTCCTGTTTCCTGTACAAGCCCATTTGGAATGCTAATAAAACCTCCAAAGCACAGGCAACAAAGGCAAAACCATGCAATGGGGACAAAATCAAATTCCTATCAAAGGAAATAATCAACACAGTGAATGACCAGCTTACAGAAAAATACTTGCAAGCTACGTATATGACAGAGGATTAATATCCAGAACATGTCAGCACGGAGGAAACAACAACAAACCACCAATCCAGTTAAGAAATGGCTAAAAACTCTCAATAGGCAGCTCTCAAAAAAAGAAATGCAAATGGTTATGAAGTATAGGCAAAATTGCTCAGTGTGACTAGCTGTCAGGGAAATGCAAATCAGAAACACAATGACAATGGCTATCATGCAAAGCACAGAGAGTAGCAGATGTTGGCAAGGGTCTGTAGAAAGGAAAACGCATGATACCCAGGGGACGTGAATGAACATCAGTGCATCCACTGCAGAAAACAGCATGGACATCTCTTCCAAAACTAGAAATAGACTTGCTGAATTGTCCAGCATTCCCTCCACTGGTTATATACCCAAAAGACATTGTATCAAAGAGATACTGCAGTGCTGCTTGCAACAGCCAAAACATGGAATCAACCAAGGTGTCATCATTAGCTGAATGGATAGAAAAAGTACACATATATACAGGGAATATTACTCAGCTACAAAAAAAAAAAAAAAAAAGAAACAATGCAGTCCTATCATTTGCATTGGAATGCATGTATTGGCCCTGATGTGCAAGAACTAATTTTTTTTTTAATTATAAAAAAAAAGAAAGAGAGAAATGCCATTTTTCCTGCTAACATAGTGTTTTGTAAAACTTTTTTATATCCCATGTCAAAGAGGTCAATAGATAGATAGATGATAGATAAACCAACACATAAATAATGTAAATGGCTTATTCTTTATGACATGAAAATAAATTCTGAGAATATTTCTCCAGATCTGCAGGCAAGGGGCCTCGCCTCTGGCAATGTTGAAGTCAGAAGCTGGGACTGGAAGGAATGTAACTGAGGACCAGCAAGGAGTCAGGGAAATTAGTAAAATCTCTGCATATAATTATTAACTGGCTCCTATTGCAAATGAATTTCAATTTCATTGATGGTCCTGCACTTAATGTCACTTGCTCACTTGCAATAGGGCCAATCCAAAGCAGTAAACTGACAGAATTCACCATTATCAGCCACTCACCAATTCTAAAATCTCCTGTGGCTGTCGAGTGGGTTCACTGAGTTCTTCCAGTGACATTCCGAACCGAGGTTGAAGAGAAGATGAACCAAAAACTTGGAGAAGATAGGAATCAAAATTCTCGCAAATTTTCGTAGACAGTTTTTGCTTCAGTGTATCTTGAAATACACAAAAAGGTAGATAGTAGAAGCAGTGAAAAATTACTTAAAGTCTATTCAAAGAGATCTGCAGTCATGAACTTATGCATCATTATGCATCCTCTGTAAGAGGTCACCCCAAATAAACTAAATTTAATAATATGTGGCGCAAAGAGGCAAGTGAATTATCTTGTTGATTGTGCAACTTATCACTTAACTATGAACAGAGGAGTAGGTACTCAGCACACCAGTTTAGTCACTGCTGAGGACATGTGCATTCCAGAGCAAAGGGCTCCTTCTGAGTCCTGGCTTCTCTGCCCTGATCCAGTTTCCTTTCAGCATACCTGGGAGGCACAAGGTGCTGGCACAGGTACTTGAATCCCAGCCACACATATGGCAGATCCAGCTGGAGTTCCAGACTCCAGGCCTTGCCTAGTCCTGCTTGTTGCAGGCCTTTGAGGAAGATCCCCACACCACCCCTCTTCAAACAGAACAAAAATAAACAGAAAATAACTTTTTTTTTTCAAAAAAGAAGCTGAATGAGCCATACCTGTGGTTTTTAAGACTAGTAAAAGGCCAGTCACTGTGCAAATACTTTTTCTGGTGGGTCTTAGTTCTCCCAAATTAATAACTTCCTTCAAGTAAGATAATAAACTTTCTTCAATCATTAAAATAGACTTTTTCCCTAGAATGCATAACTTTATCACATTAACAGTGAGATGGAATATATCAGATAAGCTCACCAGCCACCCTGGTGGGTGATAAGGGACTAGGAAATGTAGAAGAAGGAGGAAAGTTGGAAGAAGGATGCTGCTGAGCTGGATGTGCTGGGCCCAGGGGAGGCAGGGCCTGAGGTCCCACTCCCAGGCAGGTGCAGGACACAGCCACTCAGCCACTCTGAAGCCTACAAACTCCCTTAGGCTTATCTCTCCCTTAGCTCCCTTGCCAGGAATGGGCCCTACTGGAATGAGTCATCAGTTTCCAAATAACTAATCTGCATTTCCTGGGAATTGAGACTGACCATAATTTAATCATGGATGGACGTCATATGAACAAATTTCAATTACTACAAAAGGGTGAAATCCGCATATAGAAGCTTAACAGACTCACGCTGACCACATGGCAACTATCTAAACAATTATTCTTTAGCATCAACCCAACCTATCCACTCATTGCTTTCTTTTTTTCACAGAAATGCAGATCAGAAAATGCTTCCTAAATAACCCCAGCTACTTGTATTCTCCCTCTTTTTACATTACTGTAACTTTTTCTCATTCAACATGTTTTTTTTTTCACTTTGATTTTATGGTTGTTTTTGCCTTGCTACTAGCTTGCTTCACCATTTATTCCACTTAGGTAATTTTCTCAACATTAACCAACCTTAGCAACACCACCAACTCCTATTTTTATCCTTTTAACCTTAGTTTATTGAGTGTGGACCATGCAGGTGAACAAGTCCAAACACAAGTCAGCACTTTTTCATAGGGATAAAGATAAAGGTTTGCACCCTCCAAAGCAGACGGTATCTTTCGAAGTTCCTGTTACAGTTTTGTGTTGGCACAAACCACAGCCACCTTTTGATTTCTGCCTTTGTTCAGGATAATCCTATGATGTGGTACCCGGAAGAACCCAGGAAGAACAATAGAAATTCCTTTCCCGGGGTGGGCAAGCTTACCTTGCAGAGTAAAGAAGTCATCAAACTGATAGACATGCTCCGGGTCAGTAGCAATTAGATTCATTTCTTGGTGGAATATTTCAAAGTTGGGGTCATTTTTTTTCACCACCCCAATCACAAATATCTCCACACTGTTGTCCCTCGCCTCCTTCACCACCTCGGTCAGCTTCTTCTGATCTCGGGAATCCGTCTGGCCATCAGTGATAACCAAGGCCACCTTCTTTACACCTGACCTTGCATCCTTGAACATAGAGTTGGCTGCCTGGAGAGCGGTGGCTGTATAGGTGCCCTCGCCCAGGTATTGCATGCTGTCCACGGCTTGCTTGAAGGCATCCTTGCTAGAGAACTGCTTCAAATGTGCCACCTCCTCCACCTTATGGCTGTAGTTGATGATGCCTAAGCGGGCGGTGGCAAGGTCTACGGCAACCCGGTCAGCCAGAGTCTTCACAAAATTTTTGATGATCTGGAAGCTCTCTGGCCCTACACTTTCTGAACTATCAACCACAAACACCAGCTCCAGTGGTGACTCTTTGCACTTGGGCCCACAACCTGCAAAATGAGAACTGAGGTAGAAACACTGCAGGAATGAAAATCAGAGCCTCACAGGGGAAATGCATTGTGGTACAGAGGGAGGGGCAAGAAGCACAAGGAGGAACCTGAGGATGGAACGGGAACGTTCCTTTTCTGTGACTGTAAAAATAGTTGGGCATGCCGTGATAACCTTCTGGCTAAATCCTTGCCTTGCATGAGCTGGGATCCTGTATGCGCCCCAGTTTGTGTCCCAGCTGCTTCACTTCCCTTTCAGCTCCCCATTTATGACGTGGGAGAGCAGTAGAGGATGACCCAAAGCCTTGGTACCCTGCATCTGCATGACAGACTTGGAAGAAGCTCCTGGCTACTGGCTTCAGATTGGCTCAGCTCCAGCCAATGTGATCATTTAGGGAGTAAACCAGCAGATGGAAGATCTTTGTCTCTCCTCTCTGTAAATCTGACTTTCCAATAAAAATAAAATAAATCTTATTTTAGCTGACTACTGCCTCCCTTCTGGTGTTTAGAGATTCTTTTTCAAACATAAGATCCTGGGGAAAAAATATTGTCTTGGATAAAATAAAGACATGCACTCATTTCTTAAATTAACAAAATATTTTGCAATGAGCCCGTCTCAGTCACAGTCTTCTCCTTCTTTTAAAAGGTAACCACTACCATAAATTTGTTTTTCATTATTCTCCCATTTGTATTTAATCTAAATCTGGAACTTGATATCCCAGCCTTCTACCATACCCATCCATGAAAATGGAGATTTGTTCGCTGCCTTGGTCAGTGGATGAGGAAATAGGATGGGAATGTTAATTGTGGGGAGAGGATTGAGTACACAATTAAAATGTATACAAAGCCATCTGCCCTCAGCTACCCCAGGTCATGTTCCAATCCTCCATGATCACCATTCTGGAGGCTTCCTTGTTGGCAGGGAGCTCTGTAATTTGTCAAAATCATGAAAACCTTGAGGGGAGGAGCCTTCCTTCCCCTCACAAACTAATTTATCCATAGCTTAGCAAACAACCACAAAAAGCAGTTGCCAGAGACACCAGGAAATAAAAATTATCAGGGTGCCACTTCTTCATTTGTACACTCCTGTTGCCCAACAACCCTGTTATAGAAAACCACCAGGAAGCCAAGTGCTATTTTCCCAGTGCTTCTAGATCCCAGGAGCCATGCCCATGTTACACTGCCAACACAGAAAGCCAGGCTGCTTCATAAGGTCAAAGATCTTGGGGGTGGGGACAAATAAGTTCTGGGGTTCTGTGTACAGGACAGCAATATCCCTGTCTTTGCCCACTGTACACACCAAAGTTCCGCTCAGTGATTCAGTTCATCTCTTGCCTATTGACTAATGTCTTCACTTCACTTCCTCTGTTCAAAGTCTAAAACATTCAGCCAAAAGCATTCAGAGTTACAGTTCCCAGGGGGCCTCTGTTCTCCTGCTACTAAGTTCAGTGAGTTCAAGTGCAGCTCTAAAGATCAGGCCTAAGAGTTGACTCAGAAAGATGTCCTGGCTTCAGGACATACTCAAATGCCAATTGGGCTCTCATAGTCGCATTTCCTTTGTTCGCTTTTCTTCTAGAGTTCAGGAGGATGCCACTAAGCAAGTGAGCAATGTGTTTACAAAGGGCTCAACTGCCCATACCCCCTAGGTTACCACCTTCAGGTCTTTAACCAGCCTGAGAAGACCACACACATGATTCCCATGGCTTCCTCCCTGTTTCCCACTGCCTTTGGAAATGAGCTTCACACCTCGCACCAGCTAAGTAATCACACATCTCCTGCAGGAGTGCACCATTTCACCATAGTGAGCTGCTACTTGCAAATGATGGGCTTATTTGGTAGCCGATCTTACCGCATATTTCTATGATAAGTTTGATAACTTCTTCTCTCTGAGGGAAAAAGGAGGGAAGTATATTAGAATTAAAGGTATGGTTACAACGTGTTTTCTTGCAGTCATAAAAGGTAAGTCATTACAATTAATACTAGGCCATTTGATTTAATCCTTCTACTGCAGAAAAATGATATAGCACAGAAATTAGAGGTTGAGTACAACACATCACAACTGAAATGGTTAGAGCTATATAACTTAATAGCTCATGCTTTCGAGTTCACACCGCAGCTCCAGCAGCTGTGTGACCTCAGCCATTAGGTGAGCTAGCAATGTCTATCCCAGGGTAGTGGTGTAGATTACATGAGGCTAATGCACACAGCTTATACCATATCATTGCTTTACATAGCATTTATTCCATCGTGTGGCTAAATTTCGGTTCACACACTGGTTTCCAAGTTGCAGTGTTTGGTCTTGTATAGCCTTTGCATGTCCTTTGTATATGTTTTCTAAAAGAATTTTTGTCTTGGTACATATTGAAGTTAGATTTTAATTTTCAACATGTTTTTGTTGCATAATAAGGTTTAAGATGCTTTAAGTAGTCATATATATCAATATTTTGAGTGACTGGTACACTTCCTTCTCTCTACTTAATCTTGATGCCAATGATAAGGCATCAGATTTGTACCTAGAAAACCCTCATAATGCAGTAGGAAGTAGACAAACATTTGCAAGTGCTTTGCAGTGCTAAGGAAACACGTTGATCTGCTAGAGATTCCAGGAATGGGAGGGTGTGTTGGGATGGTGGCCCAAGCAGGTGGAGTTTGACTGGGTCAGGGCAGGTGGCAGAGGGTAGGGGATAGGAGGGGCACCCCAGGCAAACAGAACAGCATTCACACAGCACACACTGCAGTGAACATTTGAATGAATTTATGGCTTGAGTACATGGCACACACACACACACACACAAACACACACACAAGAAATGGAGAGGCCAGATGGAATCTAGAAGGCTTCGGTTGACCCTGGGTATTGGGTACACCTGACTCCCATACAGAGAGCACTCTGGCAGCTTTTATATAACAGAAATGATCAAGGAAGCCAATGGAGGTGCCAAAGGTTCCTAAATAGTTAAGGAGAAGACAATGACTATGGTAGTTGTGAAGGAATGGTAGGGCATCTGGAGGGACACTCCAGAGAGAGAATAAAGACAGCTGGTAAATAACTGGAAGAAAAGATGAAGGAAAGAGGAATCCTTGAAGCAGGTTATAAGATGTGGTGTGGGATACCTGTATGCCCTCTCAGAGTCTCTGGGTGTGAGCTCTGGCTCCACTTCTGATTCAGCTTCCTGCTAATGAGAACCCTGGGAGGCAGCAGGTGACCTCTCCAGGATGTGGCTTCCTATCACATGTAGGAGACACAGACCAAGTTCCTAGCACCTGGCTTTAGCCCGACCTAGCCCCCAGCTGGTGTAGGCATTTGGGAAGTGAAACAGCAAATGCTAGGTTCATTCTCAATTTGTTTCTGTCTTTGTCTCCCCTTCCTCAACTGCATTTTCTTTCAAATAAGTAACACTGTCTGAACATTAAGAGGAGATAGATGATTGCTCTGAGATAAGGAGAAATGTGACAGGGGCAGGTTAACAACTCCTAAAGACGACTGGCCTGGCTTGGGTCAGGCTGAGCTTGACATCCCTATAGAATATCCAGTTGGAAAGATCTGATAGGTGGTAATACATACAGCCTAGAGCCCTGGAGTGTGATCCGTGGGGAAGCCAGTTAAAGAAATACAGCTATATGCCTGATTGTTCAAGCAGGGTCTGCAAATGAGATTTCCTGGAGCAGGGTTCCTCTGCCCTTTTTGAAACCAGTGCCTGGCATCCTTTCCCAATTTTGTTTGACAAATACAATCCTCCATTTTAATAATCCAAAATAATACTTTTCAATCACCATATAATTTTATGGTGCTATGAAACTAATCTTAAAAAACAGCACAGTCTCCAACCTCCTGCTTTTATTGGCTATCCAATAAAAGATGGAGAAGGAACAATCGAGGAGGGGCAGAGGGAAATGTTAACAGTGAAGGGACAGGTGACAAAACAGTATCTTCCAACAACAGTGGTATCTGCCTTTTTGAGGAACCATTTCATAGTCTAGAATGAATCTGAAATTGATCATTATATGGGGATTCATGTGATCAGAGGGAGAAAAGAGGTATTCCAAGAACAGCTTTCATGAGGGGACAGCCTGGATTTGGTATCGACTTCAGTTCTAAGGCCCACTCTAAAGGGCTCTGAAACTTAGCCTAGGCCAGTCTGGACACATTCTTCAATAGGTTTCACTGACTTAACATGTTTTCACTTGAGGTGTAGATGAATGCTATGTAGCCTATGGAGCTTTCACATACATTAAATGTGGGATGAGCTGTTATATACATTAAATGTGGGATCTTGAGCAAGAGAAAGTTGTTCCCTTCAGCTTGCCCCTTTCTATCAATTCTTGTGCTACAGGGAGCCTTGGTCGGTGTTTGTGGACCCTGACTTCCAAGCTCCACTGAGGGCTCCTGAAATCACCTACCTCTATTAGCTACCTCTGGGGTAGGTCCAACTATGCAGGACAGTGTTGTCAGCTCTCCAAATGGGACCATTTGGGCCAGGAATTCTGGAATCCTGTGTATCTAGAGTGTGACTTAGAGTGACACATGACACAGTGGCGATACCCTTTGAGTCCGAGGGTTCCTTGCCAAGAAAAAGGAGTTTTGCAGAAGGAGCACTGGGAATCCACAGTGAATTTCTCCAAAGTAGGGGCCTCCAGGCACCGTTAGTACTGAATAAAGGTGGTACTGATAGAAAGGGGTTGGGGGTTCCCATCACAAACTAGATTCTCATTTAATGCAAATTCTCTTGCCCTTAAATCTTCCCATCTAGAATCTAGAAAGCCAAGGTCAACAGAATAGTGTAGCCATTTGTAAGAGCTCTTCATCTTGCCTAAAAAGTTTCTGCTTAAGAAATATAAACTATTTTATGGGGCCCGGCGCGGTGGCGCAAGTGGTTAAGTCCTCGCCTTGCACGCCCGGGATCCCATATGGGCGCCGGTTCTAATCCCGGCAGCCCCGCTTCCCTTCCAGCTCCCTGCCTGTGGCCTGGGAAAGCAGTTGAGGACGGCCCAAAGCTTTGGGACCCTGCACCCGCGTGGGAGGCCCGGAAGAGGCTCCTGGCTTCGGATCGGCATAGTATCGGCCCGTTGCGCTCACTTGGGGAGTGAATCATCGGACGGAAGATCTTCCTCTCTGTCTCTCCTCTCTGTATATCCGCCTTTCCAATGAAAAAATAATAAAAATAAATCTTTAAAAAAAAAAAAAAAAAAAAAAGAAATATAAACTATTTTGACTCATGCATCATGTATAACATTTTTGTCTGCCTTGAACCTCCACAATTATTTCTGCTTTATCACAGCATGAATCAGTATCTTTCATGCTGTTTCTACATTAGACTGTGCATTCCTTGACTCCTGGAAATTGCCTATCTCTGAGCCTGACCCCAACAAACATTGATTAAACAATGAATAAACAAGTGAGCAGATGAAGGACAGCAGTCCCATTCCCCCAGGCTGGACCACTATGGCAGGTGCAAATCCATAGGTAACCATCCTTGCTAACTTTAAGGAAAGGAATTACTGCATGTCCAGCTGCCTCACCCACTGAAAGTGTCTCTGAGGGTCTCATTTTTGGCAGGGAACAATAAGGAGAAAAGGAAGACAGACCACCCAACCCATGTGCAGCTCCCTTTGTCACAGGCTGACTGTGTTTGCCTTCTCCATCTGAACTCCTCTCAGCTCACATTTGGTTTTCCTGGCATGAAATGCAAGATGAGCATCTCTGGATCCTGAGTCATAGAAAAAGCATAAAAGAAAACACTCCTCTGTCTCCTCAACTCCAGGAGATGTCATTCTTTCATTTCTAAAAGGAAGGATTACAATATGCAGTAGACATTCCAAAGCTTTCTCACTTATGAGAAACCTCAGAGTCAGCTTTCTGTTTTTAATGGTATGGGGAGAACAGGGAAGAATGTATAGATATGCAGAAAATATTAACTGAATAAGTATATTAATATACAAATATAACTACCATTTTGTGACTACTATTGTCTTTATAACACGTCCTAAAGGAATTAATTTATGGAGGAAAAGAACTGTTGGACAAAATGAGATGTCCCATGTCAAATAAAGTCACGTGGTCTTTCAGTTTCTCTTAAACAACTGAACTCCTGGTTATCAAGAATAGCAGTGTGGTAATTTCTACCAGGGTTTAGAAAGCAATGGTTACACCAGGCTGCCTGGTATCACTTCTCCTTTTCAGATTCAGTGACGTTATGCATCTAAGTCAATGCTGGACTGGCAACCATTGCTACCATTCAAATAGAAACTGGAATTTTGCATCCAAGATATTCGGAATTTGAAAGTCAAAACATGAGACGTGATAATTTTGCAAACACAAAACCCTCAATTACCCTCCATGCAGGATACTCACTGTAAGTCCAGGGTCTCCTTTGGGTCCTGGTAACCCCTACTTAGTGGGAGAAGAGTAGCAGTCAGCACAGGCCCAAAGCAGTAAAAGTACAGAATCACAGTGAAACTTTAAACATCACTTCTTGCCTGTTTTCCCGGAGATCCAGGCTCTCCAATTTCCCCTTTGTCGCCTTTCCTTCCCACATCGCCCCGTTCTCCATGTTCTCCCTTTAAACATGGTAAAAAGGCAAGTTCAGACGGTTGTTATTAACGTCAGCTAGAAAAAAACTCTACAATTAGGCTCACTGCCAACTGCAATTCCTTGAAAACATAGAGTTCTTGTTAATAAAAATTTACCATATAAAAAATGGCGGACAGTTTGTTTTCATTGCCCCAGGTATTATAATCTAATTCAGGGTGAACCAGAAGTCCAAAAATCAAGAGACCTTGAGGTACTTTCTGATCAGCTCATTGCCTTCAGGAAATTGAGTTACTGCATAATTTAGCGGATTTGTGGGCTATTTGGTGTCTCCCACATGGTGTGTGGTAATGGTGCAGTCCTTTATTCACTGGCTTTTAACAGTGAAGAAAAAGAACATTTATAAATTGACATTGGGTATAGATATAAAATATGTAAACATCCCATTTCAAAGAGATTCTCTTCCTTTTAAAATTAAGGCAAAGCAACACACACACACTCACACACACACAAGATCTCCTGAGGTTAAAGTTATTAAGATTTTAAACCTTAATTTCTCTAAAATCCTAAAATTCTTACCTTCTGGCCTTGGAGGCCAAAGCCCATGGTGCCTTTTGGCCCTGGAAGGCCTTGAGGTCCTTGTTCCCCCTACAAAGGACATGAGAAAAGATTTTCCCATTAATCCCCAAGGTATCTCAGAATTTTCTCGGGGTCAGAACATACTTACAGCTTCAAAACTGTGTAATAACACTGTGCCTTGAGACACACATCTCAACATATACTCAATGGTTAACAAATGTCCAGCAACTAAATCTGGGTTAGGAGTGAAGACCTTGTTGTACAGCCTTTGTCTCTTACTGTGCTGTCAACATTCCTACCTTAACAGATTGCAAGCTGTTACTACAACTCATTATCCCATTGACAGACATTTATTGAGAACAATGCTTCATAGATGGAGCTGGAGATGGATGAGTGCAATAGCACAAGCAGGAACAGGTCTGCACCACACCGTCTGTGTCAGGTGCAGTGGCTGTGAGGAGTGACCCAAACATCAGCCCCGGAGATTGATAAGATCTCTGCCAGTTTAGACTCGGCACCATTTTGGATGTCTGCTCCGGTTCCACTAAAATTTCGGTTTCATTTCTGTAAGTCTCGTGCTCTTTAGTTCCGTGCCCAATTTTGTTCTCTGCCAACCTGCTGTAACACTGCTCTCCACGAATCCAATCCACTGTAGCCACATGGCATCGTGCCTGATGGTCCAATCCACCAATCCCTCATGGCCCTGTGTTCCTGACAGCCATCCCTATGCACAGAGGACGTGGCCTCTCACCTCTCTCTTTTTCTTTCCTCCTTCTCCCCCTCTCCCCATCACCCCCTCCCCCCATGCTCTCTCTGCTCTCCTGCCAGCCTCCCTTGGAGCCTCCTCCCGTCACTATGGAGGAGATCTCTCTCTCCTTATCTCTCTCTTCCCACGCTCCCTTCCTACAGTCATTGTCCTCTGCTCTGCTTTCCCTCCCTTCCCCATGGCCACCTCTCCTGCTGGAATAAATACCATCTGTGTGACGTGCTGCCATCTGGCATTTTGGATTAATGGTGAAAATTCCTAACAGTGTTTTTTACAAAAGGTAGTTCTGAGGCTGCCACAGTGGCATAGTAGGCTAATTTCCTCAGTGGTGCCAGTAGCCCATAAAGGCACTGTTGGCTGCTTCACTTATAATCTGGTTTCATGCTGACAGCCTGGGAAAGCACTAAGTGATGGTACAAAGCCTTGGGCTTCTGCACTCATGTGACAGACCCTGGAGCTCCTGGTTCCTGGTTTCAGACTGTTCCAGCTCTGGTCATTGCATCCTTTTTGGGGAGTGAACCAGCAGATGGAAGATTTTCTCTCTCTCTCAGTAACTTTGACTTTCAAATCTAGTAAGTAAATTTTTTTTAAAAAAGGTTAAAAATGCAATGGTAGTTATCAGTGGTAAAAGAGGAAAGGGAAGTTGGAAGAGGGGATAAAGATTGATGAATGAATAGAAAATAGTCATTAGATAAGGGTTAGAAGTTTCAGGTTTCTATTATACATTAGGGTTACCATAGGTAATATTGATATATTGCTTGTAACTCTATTTTAAAAACTCAAAGATAGGAGTTCTAATGTTTTTACCATAAGGAATTGTTACACATGCAAGGAGATAGTTATTGTATAATTTTATATTATACAGTGTATGCACATATCAAACCATGATGCCCCACAAAGATTAAAGAATGCATCTATGAGTTTTCTTTCATACACATATGCTTGTACACTTGTATAACTCCCTAGAGGATAGTCCTGATAACAAAATAAGTAGGGAAGAGTACAAAATAAAGTGAAAATAAGCAAGCTTTGTTCAAGTTGAACTGAAGTGCTCCATTCTTCATGAACCCCGCTCTAATTTCACATCACAGAGCAGACTGGCAGAATTCTAACGTTCTTGTCTTCTGCTGTGCTGAGTTTCCAAATGGTCACAAGTATGGGGTTACAGTCTTGCCTACTGAGCAGCAGGGACTTAAACAGCTTCCGTACAATGGCCACAGCATAGAGAACATATTGTGAATGTGTTTTCATCTTGGTATCAGGTAGGCTCCAGCTGTACACTGGGGACCCACTGGAGGTGTCCTTGTGTTGCTGAGCAACAATGGCCGGGGTGGGGAGCCTTGTACAGACAGATCCTGAAGAGAGCAAGCTTCCTTGGTTATTTGATTAGACAGTAATAGGTCACATGGAGAGATTGTCTTGCTTCTTCAGTTCACACTCAAAAGAGAATAATTTTTCCTAAAAGGATACTTGGTGACATTAGGAGGTCTAGAACCTTGATCGGGGTTCTGTCCAGTTAAATCTATCCAAAACATTAAACCAATAGGTAGACTCCAGGATGGGTTTTGAAGAAGCAAGGAAAGGAGACAGGCCTGCTAGGTTTGCAAATGCAGTGCCCCTAGCACAGGTATTATGAAGAGGAATTTGCAGGAATATATGCCCAACCCAGACAGATCATCTCAGAACTCTGTAAGCGTAAACGTGCTCAGCTCAAAACGCTTCTACAGCTTCAGTGAGAGTAGGAGGGTCCCTCCTGCACACAGATGCAGAGGCCACTCCACAGGCTGGGACCAAGAACTTGGACATGGCTGTGTTCTACCATCCTCTAACTGAAAAGAAAACACAGCCCAAATATCCCTAGAAAGATATTCTCTCAGGCTTTTTGTGGAGGTAAATAAAGGGTTATCTTCCTTCAACAAGATATCTGCTAGACAGGTAGCTTTGGGTGGCCACTATTATGTGAATTCAGGGGGCCAGGAAGGCTCCTGGTCCAGTGTATTGGACACTGATGCTCACGCATACAGAGACCACAGAAAAGAATCTACTGTAGAATCTATCCTGACCCCAAACGGCAGACAAAGCAGCTAGGACTGTGAAACAATGAGGCACCACTAAGAAGTCTATATTTAGACAAAGTGAGACCAGAAAGAGCCCATATCCTGCTAATAATTGTTCAGAATAATTTCCTTTGCAACATTTCCGACTCCTCCATCAGCAATAAAGAAGAAATCCCATCACTGTTTATGACTAAATAGCTGCTTTGAAGAAATGATACAATTTCCTAACAAAGTTAACAGCTATTGCGGCTTCACCTCCATGCCCTGAGGGGGAAAAAACATCTGTGAAGCCCATTACCATGTGAGGATCCACTCCAGGGTCAGGAATTCAGTTGGCATTACTTCACAATATTAAACATCTTCAAGAGAGTAACTAACACACTGAGCTGTTCTAGGAAGCTAGACTTCCTTGGAATAAGCTAATTCTTTCTTCCTTTGTAAACACCAGCTTCCCTTCAAAATACTTGAAAGCATCCCATAACTTTCAGAATATGCTGCATGGCTTTTAGTAAGCAAGCAAGCAAGTCAATCCATGCCCCAGCTTGGCACAAGCGACTGCAAGCCGGTCAGATCGCTTTCATTAGAAGTCTCTAGAAAATGATAAATGATTATTTCAGTGTCAGAAGTAATTGCAAGCAAGGACCTGTCTCCTGAGAAGCATAATTAAATCCTCATTCCCAAACTTGCTTCTTAATCACTGCATCATGACATTCTACTGCCACCCTCACCCCCAAAACGTGATGACTTTGGAGGCTTCAGATGAGGGTTTACTCTCTGAAGGAGACACTGCCAAGGGCAATGAGCAAGAGATGCACGGATTTGTTGCTGTTTGGCATTACTTATATGTCAGGAAACAACAGGATTCCCATACCCCTCCAAACATTTTCTTAATAAATTGTAGTAGGAAAAATAATCAAATTCAGAGATGATCAAAAAAATGTTAAATGAATATCTGGTTTCTACTGAGAGTAGAAAAGTAGGGGAAAAAACATATTATCCTCACTCCCTAGCCAAAAAGGAAAAAATGCTGACTAATCTACGAGGCTACAACCGGTACAAACTTCTTTACAGAACTGCAGTTAGAGGTTAAGCAGCTGACCCAGCATCTATGGGAACACAGGATTCTCTCAGCACACACAGATGCAGTGCCTGCATGCCTGGTGAAGGTAAGGGGCATTCAGAGAGTGCCCTCAGGAGGTGCAGGCATGGGAGCCCTTTCCGACTCTCCAGAGACAGACTGGGAGCCCCCCAAGAGTCTGAGAAAGCTTTCCTTGTTGGGGAATGTCTGGAGGTAGAAACCCCCTTGTGTCTATGTGGGATGCTAGGACAAAACACTGTGGATCAACAGCTCATCAACAACAGCAGGTTATTCTCACAGAAGCTCTCAAAATTAAAGTTAACACTAAATTAATTTCTAAAATGAGTGACAGAATGAACAAATACGCCAGAAGGTCCCACAAAGATGCCATCTAGCAAGCCCGCAGCAGCCGAAACACAGGAATGCACAATCACAAATGTCTCCCCAGCATTCTGGCACACTGGAGCTAAGAAAGAAATCTACAACCAAGCCCCAAGTGGGGATTCCTTCCTCCCTAGAGACAGGTTCACTGCTTGCAGTCAGGAGACATTCAAACCTTGACATTGCCTAGCACTTTCACCCATATCAATTTCACTCGAACCTTTTAAACCAGTGGCAGTATGGGCCTACATGACCCCAGCCAATTCCTCAGCCAGGTTCTGATTATGGACTAGCAAGCTGTGACTTTTATTTCGACAGAGTTAAAACAAAGTCTGCCCAGGGCAGCAAATCAGAAAAATTATTCTCCAAATATCATTTTTTTCTTCTTGTTTGGGGGCGGGGAGGGTCACAATTCTCAAATTTTCTCCATCATTTCAGAGGTAGTTACACATTTTTATGTTACTGCTTTCTAAGAGATGCGGATTTCATACTGACCAAAGGGTAGTTAGAAATTCTTTTACTAAAGGTAGAAAAGAAATGAGATATTCTAGGATCTCAGTACCCACTGTGTCACACAGACAGGCGGAAGGGGAAGGTATTTAAATATCAATGTAGCTCGAAGGCAGGTTCAACGGAGTGAGCACACTTGGCGACATTACATTTTACTTATCAATCTTTCTAATATTTGCATTATATTGAATTGCTTTCTTCCTTGTTTTCCATTTCTTGCTCCAAGAAGAGCCTAAAGACTATTAGCATAAAAGGTGTCCAAAGCCAAGGTTTCCCG